ACTGTTCACTTTCTCGTCTTTATTATTAAATGAAAAACTGCATAGGGAAATAGAAGTTTCATTTCAAGCATCTAACTACTAAGACCATTTTATCTTAATAAAACACAGACAAACTTTAAACTGAGCGAAAAATACAAATACAACTATGATCATACTCTCTACTAATTAATCATTAGAAACTTTCAATCATTCTTTAATCAAAAGAAAATATATATTAGAAGATACAATATAAACTTATTAAAAACAGAGTTAACAAGAAATAAACGGGGCACATATTAAATTATAAAGTCAAATCATGTGCATAATAGTAATAATAATAATAATAATAATAATAATAATAATAATAATAATAATAATAATAGTAATAATAGTATTAATCATTGACATCTACTCATTACCTTTTTATATAACTAACTAAATAAACAGAAAACATACATCTGACTTGATTGATTGATTGATTGATTTATATATACAAGTGAGAGAAAAACAAGTGATAGTATACTTTTTTTTAGAGAAAAAATCTATTCACACAATGGATTGTTAAATTTTGTAATAAATAAATAAATAACACTGAGTAGTATTTACACACACACATTTTTTTTTTGAAAGAAACCATGAGTTGATCGATCGATCAATGTTAGACCACCACCCATCACCATTAGAAACTTGGAAGAAGCACTCACTGGACGGCCGTTTCGTCCTGCCTGGTATGGGACTACTCATCAACGTGCAGTGCGCATCCACGACTCCTGCTGCACCTCGCACAGGATTCGAACCCAGGACCTTTGGTATGGTGCGCGAACGCCTAACCATCGGACCACCACTGGGCCGGTGGCATCTAACGGTGTTAATGTCTAACTTTCGATCAATTCACTGAGTAGTATTTAACATTGAATTAATTAATTAATTAATTAGTAATTTGATCGATAAATATCAACCAATCAATGCAATTCATATTTATAAGGCTTGTGAAGATTATTGTTGAGTATTAGGATTGAAATCATGAATCGATTAATGTTAGAACAATATTAGAAGGAAACCTGGAAGAACTAGACAAGTGTTTTGGTACTAGGATGCGATACATCTGTGATATGGTACAATCTCTAACAATTGCTATACTGACAATTATCATGTGTCCATGATTGATGAGCTTCGTGAAAGAATTTTTGAAGTTCATTGGAAAACTGTGACCAGAGGAGTTCAACCATGTCTGGTATGAGACAATTAATTGCAAACCAAAGACAATTGATAAAGTCAGTCAGTAAGTTATTTACAACATAGAACTTCGTACGTAAGTACATCAGTTCAGGTCACCAAAACACATTAGCATAGAGATGCAACTGTCAGTTCAAATCACATAGTGGTAGCGATAGTAGAAGTATTAGCAGTAATGGAGAAGATTAGGGATGAAAGATACTATTCAAGAAGTATAGTTCAGTGAGATAACTTTAGAAAGAGAAAGATAGAGATTATGAGGAATTTAGAAGATTAGAATTTCACAGAACACAAAGAGTGAATGCACCTGCGCGTTGCAAACGATTTTAAGCCATATCATTCAAGGTCTCTAACCATCGGTGACTTTCGTCTCGCGGACTCCAACCAGGTAGTCTAAACTTACCGACATGAATCGGTCCAGTTGTCGGCGACTTCATGGATTTCTGCCATGTTTTGTTCTGGCCGCCCCTAACTTTATTCCAACCTACTCCTACACCACAAAACATAGCTCGTCGCGGCAGTCGGTGGTTAAGCATACGCGACACATGTCCCAACCACCTCAACTGAAGTATCAATACTTCATCTTTTGATCTGCCATCCCTACCTGGTACTCGTTTCCTAACGACATCATTGATTACTCGGTTCAATTGACGAAGTCGTAAAATAATATCGATTAGTTGAAATTAAAGATTCACATCATTGAAAGTCGGTTCAGTGGTCAAAAAGATTAAGGTTTTGTGCGCGATTCCCATTTGCAGGATCGTGGATGCACACTACTGAAAAGTTCAGTACTGGGGCGAAACGACCGTCTAGTGCTTCTAGGTTTCTAATGGTCGTCTAAGATTGATCAATCCATGGTTTCAATAAAAATTTAATCTATATATTGAGTTGTGTAATTACTCTAGCCTAATATATTTAGTCAATATCACATAACAGATAAATACTGAGTATAATCAATTAGTCAGTCAGTCAGTTACAACGTACAAGTTCGTTCGTACGTACGTACGTACGTACGTGCATCATTTCAAGTTACCATAACACATTAGCACAGAGATGCTATATATATATAATGCAATTATACCGCTCATTTACACAAGCATATTCACGTGATTTAAGTCAATTGATACAGATTTCATGACTATGATACATAGTTTTCAGTCAGATAATGAGTAGTGGTCCTGAGATCGGGCCCCACTGCTTTTTATACTAACTATTCCCACTAATACATTCCATTTATGTATATTGTATGGTCTATGAATCAAGCTGACAATCGATATATATATGTATAGTAAGGGTAGTTAAATAGCCTACTATTATTTTTTATTAGATCACTGAATTTAAACTTCGATTCATTCATGTTTCATGTCAATTTCTATGTAAGTAGCAGTGGTAGTAGTAGTAGTAGTAGTCATGCAGTGCAAAATCTTATTGCAATTTTCACTAAAGCATATATTCATAATAGTTCAGTTAAAAAAAAAAACCGATGACACTATCACAATTGATTACTAACAGCATTAATTATTATTATTATTATTATTATTATTATCATTATTGTACATGATATGGTTCATGTTATATTACTTAAAATAGAATGTTTGCTCAGTGGTATTTGCTTATCAAGAAAGAATAGTTTGTGTAGTAGTAAAGTAAGCACGTACACACATGTGACTCATAGTTATTGACCTAGTAAAGCACAAACTAATTAGTTGGCAATCGGTTCTCTATTTCTTTAAAAATGCATAAATGTAGTGAGGTGTATTGATTTGGTGCAAACTTTGTGCAAAAGAGCTATATTA